CTTACAAGTGTGCTTTGGTCCTTACTTAAAAAACCAGTGAAAGTTGGTTACTTACACTTAAATCCTCTTAACCATAATGTACAAATAATGTAACCAGAGACAGCTGATGAAGCATAAATAATGGCTTAGTGGGGTTCCTATCTGTAGAGTAGCTGCAAGAAGCATTTTTAAAGACCACTTGCTTACTCTTTATCACGTCAACGTTAAATGTTTGAATATGCCCAAGCATCCTAATATTTTATCCTTAGAATTAGCAACTTTCCCTTTTTAGAGTGACTTCTACAACACTGTTCCTGGCCTGATGACGAGGATTCTTTTTACTTTTTCTCTGAGTCTGCTATTACTTCTTTCAGCCTTTAAGCTCTTCATTTCTTATTGAGTGCTAAGAGTAACACTGCATCGTGCACTCTCTTTAAAAAAATATTATTTGTCCTATGTTACCGCATTTGATCTTTTATGAAATGCTTATAAGCTAAAAATAGGAGGTAGGATTCTTCCCATTTCACTGATGTGGAAATGAAGCCAGTGAGAAATTGCTTCAAATCACAATGACCTGCTAGGGAACAAAGAATTGGATCACTTCATACAGGCTTCTTAGGCCTTTCTCTCATCGCCCTGGGAAGTGCTCATCACTCATGGGGATGGCTCTTCAGAGGGCAGTCCACGTCGGGTTGTTAGACCCTTCTGAGCAACACAACTCATGAATCAAAAAATTTACTTTTTTTTTTTTTTTTAAACACCTCCTCACAGGCACTGGGGTTCTGCCTTTTCTCCAGACATGTACTTCTATATATCCAGGTGGTATATTAGAAATATGTATTTGGTCATTTTCCAGTTTCCTGGTATAGAGGACCTAAAACTTTTTTTAAGTGATTAAAAAATGTGTTTTGTATGCTAATGAGATGACTCAGGCAGATGGGGTAGGAGAGGAGGAACCTAGATAGCTCCAGGATGGGATGCTGGTCACCAGAGTCTACAAGCATGTGATTAGAGGGTTAGAATTATCAGCCTCTGACCTCCGGGGGATGGGGAACAGGGCTGGTGATAGAGTTGAGTCACCACTGACCAATGATTTGATCAATAGTCCCCATGTCGTGAAGCTTCAGTAAGAACTCTGAAACAGGGATGCTGGGTATATTCATAGAAGCCATGGAAACTGTACTACCTCCCTACCCCCATTCTTTGCTGTATGCATACCTTCCCTTTGGCTGTTCCTGAATTGCATCCTTTATTTTAAACTGTAATAGCAGGTATAGTGCTTTCCTGAGTTCTGTAAAACACTAAATGATAGAAAATAAGTGGGAGGAGTGGCATGGAAACCCCTGACTCTATAGCCAGTCCGTCAGAAGTGTGGGTTAAGGGTGATCTCTAGGTCTTGGGATTGTTTTCTGAAGTGAGGGCAGTCTGGTGAGGCTGAGGCCTTAAACTCCATGGGGTCTGTATTAACTCTAGGTACTTCCTGTCAGAATTGAAGTGGAAGACTACCCACCTGGTGTCCACGAATCAGAGAATTGATAGGAGAGTTATTGAAACATTATATTAGGTGTCAGGAAAAAAAAAGGTGGGGGAGGGAGAAAGAATCCAACTGTGTTTCTTTTCAGTGTGTGTTCCCTATGTTCCCTTCCTTGCCTGGTGTTTTTTGTTACATTGGAGTCTCTTGGACTTTTATTTATCTTTTCTGTAGGTATTTCCCCAAAATGACATGTATGTGTAGCAAATTGGATTAGTGGACAAACGGTATTTTAAGTACGTGCCTTTGTTCCATGGCATATGAACACATTAAGTTGAAACGTTCATGTAAAAAATATGGTAGCATATCTATCTGTATCCAGCCATCCATCCAGAATGCTTACATCTAGTCCCCTGAGTTTGGCCATATGTGGATTACTTGTGATTGCACGAGGCAAGATTATACAAAAAGACAGTCATTGTGTGAAAGCCACATCTGTGTATTTAAACACTGTTACTGGCAGATAGGTAGCAGTTGTAAAAATAAAATCTCTGTAGAGAAAAACAGTTAAAAATGAAGTCTGAAATTTAATTGCCTGAGTTTGAATTCTGACCTCACTACTTTTAGTTGTTTGACTTTCACTTACTCAACTATAGTTTTGTTATCTGTAAAATGGGGTAATAGCAATGTCTATTTCATGATCATCCCGTGAGGATTTTAAAAATTAATGGAATATCCCGGGGTGCCTGGTGGCTCAGTTGGTTAAATGTCTGCCTTCAGCTCAGGTCATGATCCAAGGTCCTGGATCAAGTCTCCTATTGGGCTCCTTCCTCAGTGGGGGAATGCGCTTCTCCTTCTCCCTCTGCCTTCTCTCTCCTTCTCTCTCTCCCATAAATAAATAAATCTTTAAAAAAATTAATGGGAGAAGCTTAAGACAGGACCTCAGAACACTCAGTGTATTTTAGCCACTGGTGCTGTTATCCCTACTAATACCATTACAACTGTCACTACTACTGTTTTACTACTAATAAGCTTGTTTTGAACCTGATTTATAGCATAAAGTGGCTGTACAGCTTATAAATTGTTGTGAGCACATATTTACTCAAAATGATTTTATGTGTTTTTGAACTTGTATTTTTTTTTTTTAAAGGTTTTATTTGACAGAGAGCACACGTAGGCAGAGCAGCAGGCAGAAAGAGAGGGGAAGCAGGCTCCCTGCTGAGCAGAGATCCTGATGCGGGGCTCGATTCCAGGACCCTGGGATCATGACCTGAGCTGAAGGCAGAGGCCTAACCCACTGAGCCACCTAGGCGCTTTTGAACTTGTATTTTTTTTTTTTTTAAGATTTTATTTATTTGATAGAGAGAGATCACAAGTAAGCAGAGAGGGGTGGAGGGGAAGCAGGCTCCCTGCTGAGCAAAGAGGCTGATGCAGGGCTTGATCCCAGGACCCTAAGATCATGACCTGAGCCGAAGGCAGAGGCTTAACCCACTGAGCCACCCAGGCACCCCTGAACTTGTATTTATCTAATGAGGAGTTTCACAGTTGAAATATAAAATTGACTGAACCACCTGTAAGATTTCTTGAGAAATGATAGAGGAAATGCTAATGAAATACTAGATAAGAAATCAAATAGACTAGGAGAGCAAAGGGAATCTCTTCTTATAGTGCAGATACAGAACTTTGAAAGAAGCAAAAAAAAAAAAAATTGGAAATGAAAAGAGTAAATGAAACACCCCAGGCCTAATTAAATAGAGGTCTTGCTTGTGAATAATTGACAAACAGACATAAAATTGAAAGAGCATAGCATAGGAACTGTGTGTTACCATCATGAGCAATGTACGGCAAGATTTGGTTACTTGAGTTAAATAGATTGAATTAATTAATGCACTAAATGCTGACATGATAGAAATATTTTATGTACTCTTTTATTTGTGTTTTTCTCTTAAATGTAAGGCTAACAGAAAGGGGAAACATGAGTAGCACAAAACTAATGAGAAAATATGCACCTACTGTAACTTCAAAATGGCTTCACTAGAGTGGGAGGCAAAGGTTGAAGTATCCTTACTCCCGGCACAAACAGCTACTGTATGTGGCTCTCAGAAGAGTTCATTCATTGGCCTCATTGAACATTGGCGCCGGGTGGCTGGGTTGGTGACTCTTGTTTTCCTCTCAGGTCATGGTCTCAGAGTCCTAAGATGGGGCTCCCTGCTCAGCAGAGAGTCTGCTTCTCTGCCCTTACCCCTGTCCCCTCCTCATGCACACCCTCTCTCTCTCTATTTCAAATGAATTAAAAACAACAACAACATTGTTTCTTCAAATTAGCCTGCTAATTGATTTTACAACAAAATAAGTAAAGATTTTATTAACAAGCTAATTCATATGTTAGAATAGCTAATTAATATGTTAGAATAACAAATGTGATTTTGTATACGGCTAGTTTAAAAAACAAAACTCCATGTTCTCATGCAACTTTCTTTTTCATGCTTCCCTTCTATTCCATTTTATTGAACCAAGGCTGTAAATGTGTATTTTTTAACTCAGTCCCATTTTGTTGGGCATTTAGGTTGCTTTCAAAGATATTCCTGTTCTTACAGGTGAAACCTGACTCGTGTCAATTTCTCAGGATTAATTGGAAGCCTAAACATGGTAGCATACTTAGAATTACTATATGCGTTTTTCATCATTATTTCATATAGTTCACAGTAATGGGAAGCAAAAGAAAAAAAGTTTTAACCAAAACTCATCTGAGCACCCAACCTTGGTTTGGGTCACTATATCTTTATATATCATTTTGTATCACTATATAATGATATAAATATATCATTTATATATCATTAATTTTTTTTTCTTGATGTCATCTAAAACTATGCATAGATTTTAGGCAGTGATTACTCACTGTCCTGCTTGGTGACCAGTACATTGTGATAGGGCCTTAGCGCCCCCTGTACCATTTGTTCATGTGCGCTGTGAGAGTAGCTCCCCATCAAGGAAGGAAAATTGTTCTTAGATAATAAACACACATTGTGCTCAGGTACCAGTAAAGAAAATGTGACATTTGTTCTACATGTTGCTAAAGTAGCTTCTGCTACCTTTTCATTCCTATTAGAGATTAGCTTGGACAATAGAACACTCTTTACCCTGTCTTTTCCACATACTCATTGTTCCCTGTCGAGAGATCCTGATTTTGAAAAATGTTAAAATTATGTTGAAATGGGCTTAAAGTTTAAGAGTTCATATTTGCTCCTCTTTTTCTGAATGGATTATTTTGTAGTGTTTATGGAGGTCAAGGGCTCTAATTTTAAGTAAAACTCTATTAAATGTGGTTTGTTTATTTCCTAAATTTCATCTTATTTTTTTTAAGTAGGAAATTTCCTTCATTTTTGCATTTGAAAACATAAAGGTTTAAAAAAAATTAGTGAAATTTATCTTTAGTAGAAATGTATTTTATTGTTGTAAGGTTTTTCACAAATGTTTTGTTGTTCAAGTGTTTTACCTTTTGTATATTATAATTTTGTCCTTTCAAGGCATTTAATATACTCTCTTTTAGTCTCTGTAGAAACGCTGGAAAAGAATTTGAAGCAGATGGGAAGGCAGCTTCAACAGCTTGAGAAAGATTTGGAAACCTTTCCCCCTCCTGAGGACTTGCATGATAAGTTTGTGACAAAGATGTCCATATCCTTCTGATATCTAAATAACTTAAGTCACTAGTCTACTAGAGTTACAATTTATTTAATGTTGTAGGTATATTTGCATAACGAGTCGTTATTCTATAGTGCCAAATAGCAGTTTAACTTTCACCTTGTGGGAAAATTTATCAGTGTGTTTGCCTATCATGAATAATACAGAAATGTGCTTTCAATTCTTTTTTTTTTTAACCAATTTGGATATTTTCTCTCATCTTTTCCCTTTCATTTGCCCTCTCTCTTTCTGATGTTCATTGTAAATTGAAAGGACTTGAAAACTGAGTTTTAGGAAGTTTGAATCTAACTCATGATGTGATTTAGATAATTCTGAAATGTTTTAGGAAGGAAACAAAGGCTTTGTGAACTGGTATAACTAGTCAGCTTAATTTCATGGGTTATTATAAAACATTATCTCATGTTCCAGAAACTTTAATATTTCCTTTAGAAATACTGCCTAGTTCCAAAATGAAAATGGAATTTGTCGTGATCACTACTTGTATAGGTCTTCTCCAAACCGAATATAAAATGTGTGTGTGTGTGTGTGTGTGTGTGTAAATGAGACTTGTGTCCTTAATTTAAGGTTTCTTTTGAATTTGGTTATCTTTGGTTTCACTAACTTTGTGGCTTAATATCTAATGAGTAATTGAAGTAATAAACTTTTTTTTTAATTTCCTGAAATGAATGTTGAGTTGCTTTGCAAACCATTCTGTGAGATTAGAGACTGATATCTTTTGTGTTATAATAAAGTATTACTACTATGCATTATTAAAATCCCATATGGACCTCAGAATTTTATATGAAAGGATAACCCACTTCCAATGAGCTCTTATAAATAGACATTCCTAATATTTTAAACTGAGATACTTAAAATCAGATAACTACTTTTCCTCTTCCCATATCTGCTCCCCTGAGATTTAGAAAATCACAAAATTATTATTTGGTTTGTCATAGATTTTATTGTAGATGCTTTCAGCTTAATTGTGAATTAGTTCAATTTTTAGCTTTCTTTGCTGTCTCTCTTGGGAAATATCATAAAAATGTACTCCAGCAACAATCAATTCAGGCTAATGTGTTTGTTTCCTTTCATATCTCTCCTACCCATCCAGTTTCTTGTTTTATTAGATAGGGCACTGTTATCACTACATTTGAGAAGGGTTTTTTTGTTTGTTTGTTTTTTGTTTTTTTAAACTAAAGGTGAAATCTGTATTTACCCATCAAAAAAATATTTTCGCAGCACCTTCTCATTTGGCAATGTATGCTTTTTAAAACTAGATTTGTTATTGCAGAGTTACATTGGCTTCATCATTCTTAGCTCCTCCCATCATTCTATCATGTTAAAATATTTATATGTGACAGTTTATTTTAATCATTAAGCACTGTTAATTGAAGTATTTTCATTGTTCCCTATAGAGAGAACACATTTTAGAAAAGGGTTTACTTGCATGCAGTTTCTGGTAATACACTGTGAGCGTACTAATTGGGAGGCTTCGGTTTCTGGAACCTATAACCTAAGATAAATTCCTGAGCTTGGAGTGAAGGTGGTAGAATCCCGCTCAGCAGACGATCCCAGGACCTATCCGTACTTGTATTCATATGACACAAGAAACTGAATGATGCTGGCTTCTTGAAAGGTATGCAGCTCATAAAAAGCAACCAGCAGGAAATCAGAAACAGGAAGGATGATGCTTTGTTGGAAACAATTTTTCATTCTGAGTACAATTACACTCCATGGACAAGAAAGCTACTACATCCTGTCGCTAAATATCACAACCTAGAAGCCTCTAATGAACTGATTAGCATTCATGTATCTCTTGGAAGTCAGATATATGAACAGTTGGTGCACTTTGCTATTGACAAAGCTTATAATCATAAATATTCTTTGCTGAGATTAGATTGCACTCGTTTGCTTTTCATCTTGGTTAGACATACTAGTTTCGAAGTAATTAAATTCATTCATTGCAAAGCTTTGTTTACTTTAATTAGGACTGACAACAAGTCACATTTTGAATATTAAATGGATTTATATAGATCTTATTAAAATGGCAAATCGTGAGCCTCTTATCAGATCTCAGAAAATGAAAGAATTCGGAAACTAAAATGCACAATGAATAAAAATGTATTTAAGTAAAGTTTGGGTTCTTAATGCTCAAACTTTGTCTTAAGTTTTAGTGCTTATTAGTTGAAACACATGTCTAATTGTTTGGTTCATCAATTCTGAGAGAATTTATGTATTATTTAACTTGTTAGGGATGCATTTTTACAAGTAAATATTTAAACAATCATGACTTAGTAACTTAAATAATCCGTTAATTGAATTGTTTTAAATTATAATGATAGAATCTGTTATATGAAATTTTGCTATTAGCATTCACTTACAGTATATTGTAATTTTATTCTTCTAGTGACTGCTTTTTTATTTATATAACTACTGAGTATAAAAATGTGAATTTAGTACATCCTTTTAAAATGCATGTACAGTTATTTCATATATTCACATTGACTTTTTAGTAACACTTATGTTACTTTCCATTTGCTAAGCCTGGGTCAGAAATACGATTGGAGTTGACCATTTCCACTATAAATATTTGCTTGAAAAATTTGGGACATGAATTTGAGGCAGGGCTACCAACATAGTTACATGCAAACTATTACATGTGAAGTATCCACACTTAGCTCTTCTATGTGAGAAAATTAGGAAAAATACCAGGATTGGTGTCATGTGGTGCCTGTTCGTTTCTTTTGAACTTTAGATTCTAGAATACTTCTTACTTTAAGGAAAATAACAAATAGATCCTAAAGCATTGCCCTTGAATTTCTCCTTGCCCGGAATTTACCTTTTCTTCTCTTCCTACCCCATCTCCTGAGTCTCTTAGAAAAAGTCATTTTGCCAGACATTTATATATTTGTGTATTTGTCACACTTATAATCACTTGGCTTTTTCTCATGTTATAGTCTTTAAATTTCTTCACTGCAATCTTACTTTATTTTCATACTTTTTTTTTCTTGTTCTCGTATATAGCAATGTGGTAGGCACTTTTGAAATTATTACACAGATGCTAAAACTATTCCAATAAATTCCTTGAAAGACTTAGATCTTATAGCTGTATTCCACACTGTAAAACACAACATCTTTTAGATAAAGAAATTCAGTACCTTTCTATGTGATTGAACAGCAGTTAGAAAGTAAAATAGAGGAATGGGATCTGTGAAATATAAACTCGTATAATACATGTCCATTTGCAAGAGTGGGAGTTTGGGTAATTGGGTGATTTATAATAGAAGATTTTTCTCTTGAATTTCCCCTCGCTCCCTCCCTCCCTTCCTTCTTAACTTCCTTGTCTTTCCTTCCGCGTCTTCCATTGAAATTCTTTTTTTTTTTTTTAAGATTTTATGTATTTATTTGACAGAGAGAGACACACAGAGAGAGGGAACACAAGCAGGGGGAGCCGGAATGGGAGAAGCAGGCTTCCTGCTGAGCAGGGAACCCGATGTGGGGCTCGATCCCAGGACCCTGGGATCATGACCTGAGCCAAAGGCAGCCGCTTAACAACCGAGCCACCCAGGCACCCTTACATTCACATTCTTAACAAACTTCTAAAGCTTGTATTAAAATATCCTGCTCCTCATCCAAATCGGCAATGATCTTTTCCTTCCCTGAAGCCTCAGGGAAGTACAGCTACAGCTACAGCACTTGGTGCTGGCGGCTCTTTTGTTGTAGCACTCCATTTGTTCCAGGCCATGTCCCCTTAGCCAGGAGTTCCCCGACAGCCCGACATAAAGAGAGCCTCTCTCTCTCTGTATAATATCACACACTTCTATTTTCATCATAACATTTATTTATCACTCTCTGACGATTCATGCATTTCCTTCTTTATCCTCTGTCCCCACTCTCCAGAAGGTATGTGTCATGAAAGCAGGGATTCTGCTTACCTCGTTAACTAATGTTTTCTCTATTGCCCAGAAGAGTGAGATGCGGTGGAGCTTAGTGAATACTTACTGAACGGCTGGCTGGCTGCCCAGCCGGCTGGATCCTGACTACTTAAGATCTATGAAAGGTATTAGCCGTAGAGGACCGACTAAAGCTGGGCCTTGTAAGATGTGTCCATGGAAGTGATAGCTATCCTTGTGGGGGAAAGCACAATAATCAGGGCAGTACAGGAGACTGAATGTGGAATGTATTTGTGCTGGGTGGTTTCTCCGTCGCTCAGTGAGAGAATAGCCCATTAGCAATGATGTGGAGCGCCTCATTAATGTAACCGTTTGTTCTGACCTATCAGACAATCCTTTTAAACTGAAAATTAATTTGACATTTTCCCAAATTGTTTCTGTTCAGTCACAATTTTACCATTCTTGTGGGTAATTCCAGTTATTCAGAGCTCCACTTCATTCCTTTGGGAGCAAATTGTTTCATAGATAACAATGATAAGAAAATTAACTTAGAAAGCTCTCTAGCTGTTAAAACAAGACCATGTCATTCCCATGATTTTGGCCCTTGGCTTTCTTTCCCATCATATCTTTTTAGTTTATATAGAATTGCAATATTTTTACTAAGAACATTCTGGCAGGCGCCTGGTAGCTCATTCAGTTAAGGAACTGACTCGATTTTGGCTCAGGTCACGATCTGATCTCTTGTGAGATTGACTCCTATGTCGTGCTCTGTGCTAGGTGTGGAGCCTGTGGAAGATTGTCTTTCTTGGGGCAGCTTGGCATAGTTGGTTAAGCACCTGACTCTTGCTTTCAGCTCAGGTCTGATCTCAGGGTCATGAGATGGAGTCCTGTGTCAGGCTGTCCACTCAGTGGGGAGTCTGCTTCAGTTTCTCTGTCCCTCTCCCTCTGTGCCTGTATCCCCCCTCAAATAAATGAATATATTTTTTTTAAAACTTTCTCCTTCTCTCACCCCCCAACACTTTCTCTCTCACTCTCTCAAAAAAACAAACAAAAAAAAAAAAACTCAAGCATATTTCTAATGTTTTATTGACTTGTGATGTGATTACTATCTGAAAATCTTAAGAAGTGTTACTGGGTAATACTTAACAGCTTGACTTTAACCTGTTGACCAAATTGATTCTTTTTTTAAAAAAAATATTTATTTATTTGAGAAATCACACAAGCAGTCGGGTTGGGGAGGTGGTTGGTAGCAGCAGACAGAGAGGGAGAAGCAGGGAGCGCGATGCAGGGCTCGATCCCAGGACCCTGGGACCATGACCTGAGCTGAAGGCAGATACCCAACAACTGAGCCACCCAGATGTCCCCAAACTGATTCTTGAGAATGGGCATATTCCCCGGTATTAGGATAAAATGACTAATATTTGTGAAGTGCCTATTATTAAAATGCAAAGCCTTACCATGCAATGAGGGGGAAGAAAAGGAGTAGCTTTAGGACCACGCAATTAGCAATAGCCCCTAAAGTAGTATACTTAGCGTGTTGTCCAACACACCTATTTTCAGGGACTCTGTTAGGCCTTAGCATTACATCCAAATTGTATGTGTGTGAATAATGTGTAGATATGAAAATTTTTGAATGGAAGTTCCATAGCTTTCATCACACTTCTGAGGAGGCCTGTTACCCTTGCCACCAAAGTTTAAGAGTGATGGTACACTAGCGGAAAATGAGTAATTGGCACCAATGTTTTGACAGATGAGTAGACTTAATGCAGTCAAGAAGATGGAACACAGCATCTACGGACGGGACTGATTGTCAGAGGTGACTGTCCTCTAGAAATGTGGTGGGACCTAAGCCCTAGTAGGGAGTTGGACTAACAGGAACAACTCAACTCTGTTCTAGCAGAATACAATGGATTACAAATGCTGTGTGTTCAGTGGGACGAATTTACAGCTGTAGAGATGAGAGAAAAAGGCTTTGCAAAAGAGGAAGAATTGAAGGGAGCTTTGAATGATAGGTTTGGACAAGCAAAGGCAGAAAACAGTTTCTCTTTTAGACAAGAGTTGAGAATATATAAATAATCCATATGGATATAGCCTGTGTCTGGGACATAAATAATTTTAGGTGAGAGTTATAGATTGAATAAATAAACTAATGCTGATTTCTGACCTTACTATATAAATGACGGAATGATTATTTCATGTTACAAATGAATCACCATATGGTCCATTTAATGTTAGTTCCTGAATGTGTTTCGAATGTTTTTTAATTTACATAAATTCACTTTATAATATTTCATGAATATGGATATTTCCTACGACAAAGTGATTGGAAATCCATCACGTGTGACTGTATTGTTACAATTTCTTACGATTTTGTGATTTGAGTAATTATACAAAATCTTTTGTTACTCATCCAAGCATTAAAAACCGATACTGCACATAAATTCGTCAACTGCTGCTACTATTCTGATCTAGATTCTAGAAAATATAAGGAGGCATTTTGCTATTCAGATGAATATAAACTGAGCCACAGGAAGATCTAAAGATTTTCTTAAGGTTGTTAAAAAATACCATTTATTCATTTTTTCCTAAAATACTATATATAAAAGTAAGAAGAGCAGAGTATGGTGGGGGAAAGAAGAAGAAAGAACGAACCAGCATTAGAAGAGTAGTAGGTAATCTGTGGTCTGACCCTAGACATGGGTATAAGTGAGCTGTGATTGCCTGGGATGCCTTTCCTTTTGCGGAGCTGGGTTCTAAGTGTCAGAAATTTTCTGTGCACCTTGGATATCACTACCCATCCGGAAGCAGTGCTGTCTCTTACTCAAAGTGAAGAGCCCGGATCAGTTTCCTTATTTTATCTTCCACTGGGGAATACTCGGATCAGAGGAGTCCTATCTTTTAAAATTGTGGAAAATCTTTCCTTTAGGTTATAAGCATTCCATGTTCAATTTTGTTTTCTTGGTCTAAATCTAGTTGTTTTTACTACTGACTTGTAAAAAAAAAATACTATATATTTTTTTACATTAAAGACAACAAAATGGCTTTCATAAGCTTAATTCTATATGTTCCATATCTTTAAATGTCCCAAGGAGCCATAGAGGAATATGAATGATACTCTTAACAGAGTCATCTTTTCAGAATGAGGTATGGTATATCTAACTGCATTAGTGATCTGTCACACCACAAAGGAAATGCTATGGTTTGTTTAAAAAATGTTTTCTAATGCTATCATTGCATTCACTGTTAGCCTTCTGAAAATCAGTGTGCTTTGAGCTGTGTTGTCATAAATAAGTGAGAGAAGAACATTTCTGTATGTGCAGGTATATGTGCCAGATCATAATTTTAAATCATGTAATGCATAGAATAAGGTATGTACCAATTTTCCAAAGGAAAGTTAAAACATGAAGTTACATACATTTGAAGTTCTTAATGTAACTCTTAATTTATTTTTGGATTGATTTTAGAAACTTAAAGCTTAAAATGAGTAAGTGGGCAATAAAAAAAGCTAAGTGTTTACATTTACTACAAAGTGCTATTCATCTCTCAAAGAACTTTGCATTATTAACTCATTACTCCTTGGAACAGCCCTGTAAAATGAGTAGTGTTCTCATTCCCATTTTATAGATGAGGAAATGGTAGCACAGGGAGATTGAGGCATTTGCCCGTAGCCACTTACCACCAGGTGCAGGAGTCTGAAATTGACCCCAGTTGTTCTGTTTAACCTCTGTGTTCAGTGCCCATGTGGTTGATTTCAGTATTGTTGAAATTACTCCACTTCAGCTACCGAGCTCTACTTTAAATCATACTGCATGATCTGAATAACATAGATACATAAGTTGGAAGTAGAATTTCCTGGAACTCAGTTGTAAAAGAAAAATATTAAATACTTAAATTTTCTGATAATTTTGACAAAGGTATGAGATTGAAGTTAGGATTTCATTGCTGCACAGGTTGGATTGAGTTGTTAGAACAGAGACCTGTTAGAGGTACTTCTGGCATTTCGGAGATGTGTAATAGTGCCTAACAGTTCAAACACTGGACTCACAGATTTGTCCTTAAATGTTACTTTGTAAATTTCTGAATCCCTTAACTATAACATACAGCTTTGTTATCACTGCAAAAGAACAATACGAGAAGCTTTTAAAGTTACATGAAAAGATGGAGAAGTTATACCAGAGTCTGATGGGATACTATGCCATTGATGTGAAGAAGATGTCCGTGGAAGACTTTTTTAATGACTTAAATAACTTCAGAACCACATTCATGGTATGTTAAAATTTTTAATTTGTTTTCTAAAAAGGTGTCTGTGTCTATACCATCGCGTCAATTATTACTTTAATTTCATTACTTTATTCCACTCTTGTCTGTAGTAAAAACCTACCTTTCCCTATGTTGAAAGTTAGCTTTAAAAATTTCTGATTTTAATACTATTGAAAAATAGGAAGTTTGTTCTCTTTTTGGCCTTCCCAACATTAAGCTGTAATTGGAAATTTTGATTGAAAATGTGACAAATTCTGAAGTTTTTCATAAAGACTCCCCTCCTGGCCAATTATAGAGCACTTTTGTAATGTGTTTTTGGCTATGAATTTGTTTCTTTATACTTAAGATCAATTTGTATTTTTGTGGTGTAATTTCACCAAATTCCATGAAGCTGATATGAAGCTCTTTTTCTTTTTTTCCCTTTTCTTTTCTTAATGCATTGTACAATAAGCTACCAGTTATTTGCCTCTGAATGGATTTTACATTCCTAGGGTTTCCTTTAGATACTTTAATAGGGAAGTCAGGTCTTTGATGTGGAATCCTTTCATTTAGGCATTAAAAAGATCTTTTGAAAAGTATTAGCTGATTAGATGAGGAAAAAAAAACCACACACATATTAAAGTGAGAAAGCATTGTTGCCTCCCCGGGGAAACTGGTGATACATTTCTGCAATAAAAAATTATGTTATTCTTAATAGATGGGTAAGTCATTTCTCTATTTCAGCAAATGTTTGTGGGGATTAAAAGTTTCTTGAAGGGTAAAGAAAACTTGAATTTTAAAAAAGTGTTTCTTTTTACTCCTAGGAAAAATTTATTGCTGAATGTATTGCACTTGGTTATGGTGAAATAGTCCTTTAATCAAAACTCAGTATTTTAAGGGAAAACTGGTCTACAATAAATACACGTTTGCCCATAGCTTTAGTTTTTTCCCTCTACAAATTCAAAATGATTCTTTAGTTTTTCACTACCAGAAGTAGAAAAATTGGATTCAATTGATAAGTATATTTATTATGTCTCTATATGTGTGAAGTATTATACAGTATATTTCACTTTTATATCTTACGAGGCAACATGGCTTTAGTGGAAGTAGCAAAGGCTTTGCAGTCTAAGAAAGCTAGGCTTGAATTCCACACTAATTATGTGACTGTGAACTGATGTAACCTTACTGAACCTCAGTTTCCATATTTGTAAATAGAAATATTAATTCCTTTCTCATAAAAGTGTTTATTAAACCAGCTACTATATATTAAATATTTATTGCAGCTCCTTGCACATTGTAGTTGTTAAATAAATTAGTGCGTGGTGAAGGATTAATTTAGTAGGCTTGAGGTATTCCAACCCTGCGTATTTCAAAGAAAGTACTCACCCTCCCCTGGCACCTGGGAGGTCACCTGTAAGCCCTTAAAATACCCTGTCTCCCACAGATCAGATGTTTTTGGGGCCTTGGACCAACCTATATATTGTTTTGTTTTGTGGGGTTTTTTTTTCCATTTTATTTTATTTTATTTTACTTCTTTTTGGTGTGCCAGTATTCATTGTTTATGCACCACACCCATTGCTCCATGCAATCCGTGCCCTCCTTAATAGCCACCACCAGGCTCACCCAGCCTCCCACCGCCCCCCTCCAAAACCCTCAGATTGTTTCTCAGAGTCCACAGTCTCTCATGGTTCATCTCCCCCTCTGATTTCCCCCAACTCCCTTCTCTCCATCTCCCCATGTCCTCTGTGTTATTCCTTATGCTCCACAAGTAAGTGAAACCATATGATACTTGACCCTCTCTGCTTGACTTATTTCACTCAGCATAATCTCCTCCAGTCCCATCCATGTTGATATAAAAGTTGGATATTCATCCTTTCTGATGGAGGCATAATACTCCATTGTACATATGGACCATATCTTCTTTATCCATTCGTCCGTTGAAGGGACAGTTCTTTCACCATCTTGGTTCTTTCACAGTTTAGTGACTTTGGCCATTGCTGCTATGAACATTGGGGTACAGGTGGCCCTTCTTTTCACTACATAAATATCTTTGGGGTAAATACCCAGTAGTGCAATTACAGGGTCATTGGAAAGCTCTATTTTTAATTTCTTAAGGAATCTCCATACTGATTTCCAAAGTGGCTGCATCAACTTGTATTCCCACCAACAATTTAAGAGGGTTTCCCTTTCTCCACATCCTCTCCAACACATGTTGTTTACTGTCTTGTTAACTTTGGCCATTCTAACTGGTGTAAGGTGGTATCTCAATGAGGTTTTGATTTGAATCTCCCTGACGGCTAATGATGATGAACATTTTTTCCTGTGTCTGTTAGCCATTTGTATGTCTTCTTTGGAGAAGTATCTGTTCATGTCTTCTGCCCATTTTTTGATGTGATTATCTGTTTTGCATGTGTTGAGTTTGAGGAGTTCTTTATAGATCTTGGATATCAGCCTGGGGCCTTGGACAGCCTATAGATAGTTTTTGCTAGAAATGTGCTTTATGGGGACACCTGGGTGGCTTAGTCGTTAAGCATCTGCCTTCTTCTCAGGTCATGATCCCAGGGTCCTGGGATGGAGCTCCACATCAGGCTCCCTCCTCGGCGGGAAGCCTGCTTCTCCCTCTCCCACTCCCACTCTCTCGCTGTGTCTCTCTCTGTCAAATAAATAAATAAAATCTTTTAAAAAAAGAAAGAAAGAAAGTCCATGCCTACGTGACTGGTCTTCCCAATAAAAACTCTTGATGCCAAGACATGGGAAAGTTCCCTTTCTTGGTTGTACTTCCTATAGATTGTCACATGTCATTGCTAGAATAATGTAACTCCTATAGGGGAAGTCAATGGTGATTTTAATCTGTGCCCTTTCACTGTAATAAACTGTAACCATGAGTACAAGAGCTTTTTAGGTTCTGAGTCCTTCCAACAAATTATCAAACCAGAGGGTGGTCTTAGGGACCCCGACACAATTATGCATACAAGTATAAAATAGATATGTGGAATAATAACATCTATCATATATTGAGTGTTCTGTGAACCAGATATTCTTCCAAATGCCTTATATATGTTATCTCAATCTTCATAATAGTTGTCCACCTTTCACTGTTACCATCCCTCTGTGGCACAGAGATGGAACATATCTGGCTTAATGTCATGTAGCTATAAAATGGTAGAACAAGGATTTGAACTCACCCTGTACAGGCTTCCTCCAAAAGCCTGTACAATTAAATGTTATGTAGTGGTCCTTCTCATGTTTTATAGCTTATATTCTGTTTTACAGATAAGATCACTGGCATACAAAGGGTTTTCTAATGAAACCAAGGGTGTACTGTTTTTAAGCATTTAGATTGGCATTTGAATCAAGTCTAATTCCAAATTTTTCTAAGATCTGGCAGGATTAAAGGGCTTTGGGCATTCTGGGGGTAACTTGGTCATTGTGTTACTAAGTGATAGGCAGAGAGTGAAAGTGTTGCGTTGAGTGGAGAAGCATTCAAAAGAGGAGGGTAATAGAGTAAGAACAATACTTTATTTCAGAGTTCACATGGTTCCTAGAAGTAGATGCTGTCACACACACATATGCACATTGTACCTCATTAGAGCTAAATATAAAAAATATGTTTTATTTTATTTTTTAAATTTTATTTACTTATTTGACAGAGAGAGAGCACAAGCAGGTGGAGTAGCAGGCAGAGGGAGAGGGAGAAGCAGGCTCCCTGCTGAGTAAGGAGCCTGACACAGGGCTCGATCCCAAGACCCTGGGATCATGACTTGAGCTGAAAGCAGTTGCTTAACCAACTGAGCCACCCAGGTGCCCCAAATATATCTTATTTAAATGAAAAATGTGGAGAGGAAAGCTTCTTTTGCGTAAAAATAAATAAAGACTGGAAGGAAGTGGTTATATCAAGGTGGTGAATTTGGCACACACATTTTATTGTTTCTTCCCTTCTGGTAAATATAGTTATACTGCTTGAATTTTAGACAGTGTATGTTTAAAAAGATGACAGTGTCAATATTGGCAAAAATTTTTGACAAATGGTTTGTTTTCTCAAATTCTCCTGATCCCTTATGTTGCTATTTAATTCCACACTATTCAGCTTTGAAAATCCAGTTAACTTCACTGAATCAGTGTGCAAATTTTAGCAACAGATGTAGTACTTTAATGTGTTAGGTCTGTTCTGGAAAGGCATATCAATACAATAAGCAAAAAAAAAAAATTTCCTTTTTAAGAAAATACTGGTAAGATACATTTATATTGTTACTTCATCCACTGGTATTTAGGAATACTCCTGGCCATGAATGAGCAAATTTTACCAATAAGGTGGAGGTCCATTTTGTATTACCTACATGGAGCTGGAGCCACTGTCCTTATTCCATACCTACCCCCCCCCCCCCAACTATGGCAGTTTTCCATGGAATGTTTTCTCCCAAGTTCAGATCATTCTATTTATGGTTTCCTATGCCTGGAGCATTCTGTCCATATTTTGCCTGGCAGAGTTACTATACTCACCCTTCTGCTCTCTGCTCAGACTTCGCTTCATCTAGTTAGATGTATGTCTATCTTGCTTACCTTTGTTTCTCTATTGTGATTCATGGCATTTATCTATTACTCAGCAGATGGGTAAATTTGTTGAGCAAGAGTCTGATCTACAGTGGGGGCCAGGCTTTAATAGCTAATACATATGATGCTAGCTAAGTGCCAGGTGCCCTATTTATTCATTTAACCCTAACAATTACTAGATGTGATATCCATATTGGTATTATTCTCATTTTACAGATGAAAAAACTAAGGCTTATAGAGGTTGTGACTTGCCAGCAACTGACGGAGCTGAGGGGCTAACCCAAGGAGTCTTGCACCAGTCTATGCCATACATGCTGAACTCTATTAATTCCTATTAAACATGGGAATTACATTTAAATGACTAACAGAATTAACCTGAAACTTAATACCTCCCCAAAATAAAAAATGTGGCCACTTTTATTTTTTTTTCCAAATTTATTTTTAATAGTGATTTGTTTGTGAATAATTTATCCAAA